GGGGGTAGGGTTTTCCAAAATCATGTAAAAAAGAGTTAAAATTAGCTGCCTTCTGTCCCGAAAAAACGTAAAAAATTAAATAATTCATTGCAAATTTATTATTAAAAAGTGAAATAATCTTAAATATAATAAAGAAATTATTGGGTTTTGGATGCTGTAAATCATTGTAGCCCACCGTAAATGTAGTTGTATCGAATAACTACGGTTTCTTAAAGTTAATTAACAAAGGTCTGCTCAGAATAATTTCCGGGGGGGCAGAAATTCAGAAAATTAATCGTATAATTCGCCCCCTTGTTGGGTTTTCCTCCATGTGTGTGTTAGAAACAAGCTTTTGTGTTTATGTTTTGTATTTAGAATATTTGAATGCGGGGGGGATCACGAGGGCCTACATGAGTGATGGCATAAGCCCATCGACACGTACTAAGTCTCCACAAGGGCCAGGCGAAGGAAAACCGTCGACGGGGGTTGGTTTGAAGAAAAACCTGTTGGCGGAGGGCCTACCCTAGAGAGGACCAAGTGGTGGGGGTCCCAAAAAGGTTAGTGCCCTATGGTTCATCCTAGAGAAAACCAAGTGGTGGTGCCCACACAGGTTAGTGTTAGTGGTCTCACTAGAGGGCCCAAGTGGTGGTGTCCCCCAGGTTGTGCCCTTGGGGCCCTCACCCTAGGAGAGCCCGGGTGGTGTCCCACACGGTTGTGCCCTAGTGGCCTCACCCTAGGAGAGACCAAGTGGATGGTGCCCCACCAGTTAGTGCCTAGTGGTCTATCCTAGAGAGAGACCAAGTGGATGGTGTCCCAACAGATTAGTGTCTAGTGGTCTCACCCTAGGGGAGCCCAAAGTGGATGGTTCCCACAAGGTTTAGTGCCCAGTGGTTCACCCTTGAGAGGGCCCAAAGTGGGGGTGTCCTCACAGGTTGTGTCTAGTGCCCCCCTCTACTAGTTTTAGTATTCATTTTACAAGCAAAGAACTTTGCACGTACATCGCTACTTTAATGTCCATCTCTATTTTAAGTACATGTACGCTACTTCAGGGTGCAAGTATAAGTTTTTACTTCTGGGCGAAACAGAGATAATTGGTTTATGTCTATCTGCTAACCCTTTTTAAGGCCCTGTCTTCGTTATTTTTAAGGTCGTTGAAAATGTGAAAAAACTGTAAAGCCAGGGATTTCTTTTTTTTCACAGTAGTTGTTTTGCATTTGTGATTCACCTGTTTACTGTGATCTTATTGCGCAAAAACCAATATGTATAAAATGTTAGGGACACTACTAGGGAGAGGTAGGTGACCCAGAATAGGGGGACGCTATTCGCCTTTAGTATTTCGGGAATTTGAGGACTTATATATGAAAACCCCCTGGAGCTGTGATCCGTGGTTCTGCCTTTAAATTTACATGGAGCTAAAGGGAGAGGGTAACGGGAGAGGATGGGAAAAACCCAAAAAACTACAAAAGGGGGACTACAAGGCATGAGGAATTTCCTGCGGGGTTCAGTGAAAAAAGAGAACTGTTGAAAAATCAGTAAACAAAATGAGGTATGTGACAACAGATACAAAGGACAGAGGAGAGGTTTGTTTCCCCAGGGCAACATAAAAAATGGGAAGACCGAACAAGTTCTTGGTTCCCCCAAAGGTGTAGAGAGGCAAAGAATGTGCTAGAGAAAAATAGAAAAGTACAAAAGGGAAAAGGCCCCGGGAAAAAAAACAGTTTAGTCGAAGACCCAAAAAACGAGTTGCACAGGTAAGGGGGAGGCCCCCAGCGACGTATAAAAAGAACATAACTCGAAAGTCTGACTCGAAGCGTTAAAAGCACATAGGGGGAAGCAACAGTCAAGGACCAGGTAATCACCCTGAGGAAGAAGGTGGGGAGTCACAAGAAACAAGAAGAGGTATGCAAGGGCTCAGCATGAGATTTAAAGTATTTACAGTGGAGACAGAAAGAGCTGGGGGAAGTAAAGGGAGGTACCCCAAACAAGAGTATCCCAACAATTGCTGGATAAAATTTACACAAAACGAGGGGAGGTGAAGAAGTGTACATGATTGATCCCAAAAGGTGGTGGGACCCAGACATCTCTCGTGGTCCTTAGGGGGGAGCAGAGAGCTGTGTGTCCCACAAATAATCTTCAACAATCCATTGAAATGGACAAAAACTGGGTATGGAGACGGCAAATGAGCCCCTTTTTTTAAAAAAGGGACAGACCGAGGCACTAAACTAAAACCTGTGTCATCATGTGTATAGTATGCAAATCATGGACAAGATTATCAGGAGGAGGTGGTGGACACCAAACAAGGAAAAAGTTATAAATGACATCCAGTAGGGTTTTAGAGAAGGGAAATGCTGTGTAAAAATCTATTGGAGTTCTAGACAAGGTGAGGGAAAGTAAGACATGAGATAGGGGAGAGGAAGAGAAGAGAGAGAGAGAGAGAGAGGAGAGAGGGAGAGAGAGAGAGAGAGAGAGAGAGAGACAGACAGACAGAGAGGAGAGAGAGAGAGAGAGAGAGAGAGAGGAGGAGAGAGAGAGAGAGAGACAGAGATTGAGAGAGGAGAGGAGACAGACGGGACAGAGAGTGGAGAGAGCAGACAGAGAGAGGAGAGAAGAGGAGAGGAGGAGAGAGAGAGAGAGAGAGAAGAGGAGGAGAGAGGAGAGAGAAGACAAAAGAAGAGAGGAGGAAGACAGACAGAGAGTGAGAGAGGAGAGAACAGACGGAGTGAAGAGAGAAGACGAGAGTGGAGAGAGAGACAGACAGAGGTGGAGCAGACGACAGAGAGTGAGAGAGAGAGAGAGGGGGAAAACAGAAGCAGACAGAGGAGGGAGAGGAGAGGGGAGGGGGAGAGAGAGAGAGAGAGAGAAAGAGACAGACAGAGAGAGGAGAGAGAGAGAGGGAGAGAGGGAGAGAGGAGAGAGCAGAAGCGAGGTGAGAGAGAGAGGAGACAGACAGAGATGAGAGAGGACGAAGAGGGGGACAATCTGTCAGAAGGTAGAGGGGGGGTTAGAGGCGTGGAGGAGGCGGGGAGGAGGAAGCATTTAAGCGTCTCCCCCCTCCATAACACGTTCCGCGGCAGAATCTGAGGAAAATCTGCGAAAACGGAGGTGCAAAAACCCCTAGCCCACCCCCAGGCCCCCTAGGCTGTGCTTCGCTGCAGGAAAGGGGCATCCCCAACAACTGTGCGAGATACGGGTTAATATGTCAAGAAAGGCAAAAGGAGGACCAGTGTGGAAAAAAAAAGGAACTTGCGAAGGGCCACCTTTTTAGAGCTGTTTCGAAAAACCCGGGGATCTCGAATTGGTGAACATCTCACACTCACGATTAGCTACTCCTATCCACCCCCAGCGGTGGGTTTGGGCCTTTACACGACCACAGCCCTACACCCCTGCAGCTGCCTCAGTCCCCCCTTCCCCAAAGGGGGCACCTTAATTCCCTACACACCCCCACCTCAAGTGACCTTCTAGAGGAGCCAGTCTATCAGCATCTGTGGGCCCCAAAATTAGAGGTTTCATTATAAGTTGGGGAGTACCTAGCTTTGGAAATCGAGTCCCAAATGATAGCTGTTGCTAAAACATTTTTGGATGACGGGGCTCCAGAAAATTTTGCAAAAATTTGGGGCTACCCCTCAGGGATGAGGAGACAGGAAAGGGGGAAAGGGGGGTGGTGTTGCGTGTGCTTCTTAAAAGTGTTCTT